TATTTATATATTTATATATTGTACTTGGGCTTGTACCTGTACTTGTACTTGTACATATATATAAATATATGTATTTTCTGATGTACGATGTATGACTGCTTGACATTGTGTGATATTTTTTTTTGCAGCGCAACGTTTTCATCCCAAATAGATCTGTTTTCTTTGTAGTCTAACTGCACGGAATATACAATCTTTGACTCTCGGCGTATCAGCTATGTATGCATTATAGCTACCAACTATATTAGCGTCCTCATATTCACTCCTCTCCCGTGGACAATTACAGATTTTTGGACAAAAAAGTACAAGTGAAGCTCAACGGCAAGCGAACGGTCACAGGAGTATTGCGTGGTTTCGACCCTTTCCTTAACGTTGTAATCGAAGATTGCGTCGAAGAGCGACCAAATAATGAAACAAAGGATATCGGCATGGTGGTAAGTCGTTCTGAATCCCTTCTATGTTTCACATGTGCTATGATGTTAATAATGAAACAAAGGATATCGGCATGGTGGTAAGTTGTTCTGTGTCCCTTATTTGTTTCACATGTGGTATGATGTTGTGAATGGGTTTCCGGTTATGAATAAGTAGTCAAGTATTGTATGGTCGACATTTCTAAAGCCGCAATTCTGCGTTCATTTTTTTTGAATTATTTCTTTTGTTCCCGCTGTTTTTATATCGCGTATGCTATTGCTATCTGAATTATTATAGGCTGAAGTTGTGTCTGCTGAAGCGACTGTTCGTTGCGACAGTGCATTCCGCTTGGTATCGTGTGTACGCATTTATCATATACCAGGCATGTTTTCTCTTTCACATTGACACTTAGACGTCCCTTGATACCAATGCTGTGGATTGGTTCGTGGCATTTTACTAAAAAAAACATTGCTTGTTCGCTGCATACATCTTTATCTCTGCATCCTTACTCTGTACCATGCTACTAACCTTTTCAGCTTCCAAATTATTGGATTTTTCTGCTTCTTTTTTCTTGTTTTTCTTCCTGGGTACGAAATGTCCATCTGCTCATAATTTATTGCTCTCCCTGTCACGCATGCACGGTAGGTGTTGAGAGGAAACAGTATAAATATGATCGAATGTCTGGACAGAATCATCTAGGCATCTGAAGAAACCGGCGTACCTCACGATAGTTCAAGATCTTCGTTTGTCTTCTTGTGGGACGTACGATAACTAATCATGAAGGATACACGGTGTATACAGATTAATCATATAATTACTATCGTATCAAAAATTAAAAATTAATACTCCAAACCATCAAAGAATAAATACCATAGTGTGAAACTTCGAAGACACTAAAAGCGAGTGCGGTATGAGCCATTTGATGGCTATCACCATCTGGTTCATTGTTAGCACAGATATAGCTAGACTAGCCAATATAACACAGATACAATCATCCAATGGTGCTCATAGCTCACGCAGCTCACGTACACAATACTGCGTTGTTTACGATATGTTTTCAGCACGTTCACTATTGACTTTGAATTTCCTCTGAACATCAAGCCTAGCATCATGGTATATTTGGTGACTGAAAATACTCTCCACATAGAGTAGATCAATTCAATGGAAAGGCAAAAACAATTCATTCGGGAAAAAAAGTACGAATCAGTCGAAAGTTACTGGTAGAGGGTATTGTCGAATATAACGGCGTACTATTGGGTTTGCAATAGAATGGCGTAAGTGTATTCGAGGTAAAATTTATTATCATTCTATAGCGATTCTCGAATCTGAAGCCATAGATTCACTGATATGAGGCGGGTAAGGAGTTAAGTTTAGGCTGATGTGTAGCGTTAGGAGTCCTGGAGATCATGAATGTAATTCCATTTGCTGCACATTTCAGTTGTCACGAGTATAATCAGCATATCGCAATAGCACTCACGGGTTCTTTTGAGTAGAAAAATCCACAATGATTGCTTTATTTTAAATATAACTAGCTCAGATTACAAATTGCCAGGTTGCTGGTTATAAACATGCTGCTTTTGATATGCGTATATCCGCCTATTGTCAACACAGGCGATGAATTGATACGCTTTTCGGGCCATGAAAACTGCATCTTGTGCCAAAGGAGTAACATCGATCAGATTTAACAAAGTTTGTAGAAAGTAGTAGATTCGTACGCTCGAAAGTTCAAAATGAAAGCTGGCAGATTGCATTTGGCGGCCCTCATTTGAGGTGTAGAGCGAAGTAATTGGGTCACATGCCGATTGCTGAGCTGGATAAAGATAACAGACGGATTCGACTATTTCAGCGCCTAGTTCTAGACAAATAATAGAATAAATAAGTTTAATTTCTATTTTTTTTTAAATATCCAGAACAGAACTACAATTCAAGTGATATTTACTACCAATGGTACGATAAAAACAAAGAGACATTCACAAGATAATATCTTGAGGCCGAACGAGATTTTAATACCACCAAATTTATGTCCTATTTGCTTTAAAATTGTACCTACACCGCGAGCAATGCACATCATATCGGATTCCCAAATGGGGGCGAATTTTGGCGGGTGGAGCCGATACCTACTACGGTGGGGTGCATAATCAAGCGTCTGCCGAAAAAGGCTCGTTCTAATTGGTGATATCTGTGTGAAGGTGCAGAATAAATTCCATCGCCATCATTCGGCCTGGGATCTTCAACGTCACCGCGTGTGAATTGACTGCTTACTATAGAGCAATTCTTAGTATACACGCATATAACATCTAAGCCAGATGTAAATTTGGTTTAACGGCTTCGCATGTGCTTTTATGTGCTTTTATCCCGGTCTTTCATTACTGTGGTTTTAGTTGACTTCACCGCAGGCGGCTTTAGACCTGTAGCATTTCAGATTGTGCAATGGACCAGGACTATCTTGATCGAATACTTAGTACATCAGCAGTTATTGGTTATGGGCGTCTGAGTTGAGCCGAGCGCTGGGTTGGCTGCATGACTCATCAACACTAATGCGGCGGGGCTCATTATTTCATATGGCATGCTGCTACGACGAAGCATAAACTCTCGCGTACAGACTATCGGCAAAAACCAGTGTCATCTATTCGGTGCTCATTAGACCTCGCTCAGAGGCTCCCAAAGGAAGCTTGTGCCGGCCATCCTACGAGGAAATGACCGTCCTTGTTTCGCCTACATATAGCATATAGCATGTATATAATCTGGATATACGAGGAAATGACCGCCCTTGTTTCGCCTATATATAGCATATAGCCTGTATATAATCTGTATATACAGTGCACACTACGTGCCACTTCACTCATAGACGACCGGCGGCGATTGTAGCAACCATTCTAACATAAACATAAACTGAATTACTTAAGCTATACGCCTGGTTGCTGAGGCTGACATGTGGGTCTGAGCCAGTTTAGTATACCGGGGATTTGTCCGAGTATTTACTCCGCCGTTGCCCGAAGGGAGACCTGGCTTCATGCGCGTGCTTTATAGGGGGTGCTCTGGGACTGGTCCCAGCGTGCTCACTCATGAGTTCAAAGTAGTAGGCCGTCAGGTTTGCTTCGCCTGGATTCAATGGAGATGCAGAGTGGTTCAAACATGAGAGAAGAGTTCAGTGTGTACTGGACATGGTGGACAATTGTAGACGTATTCTAATACGGTGTTGCCTAGTGTGACCGACGCGCATTACGTGCACTCGGAATATTAAAATATTTAAAAAACAATTTAAAATCTGAAGAAGAAAGTGATCGTAATCCATCTTATTTTGCCAAAGGTACAACGATAGCAGAGAAAATTTTCCGTCAGGTACTAACCGCGCACTTACAAGAACGTTGAGTTTCATCTAACATCCAAGTTCACAACATGCACAGTTTGAAATGGCTTTGCCTACTTACCTGTGAAAGAGATAAAGCTTTTTGTGACAGACGATTCCAGTGTCTGATATACCCTTTGCATTAGATTCACGACATCAGTCAGTTTCACCTGGTGCTTCACCGCCCCGAAGCCATTCATCCCAAACACGTCTGCATCGAATCCCAACAGCTCGTCTAGCTCGAGGGCCAACTCTAAGGGCACCTCTACGGTCCATGTGGCGTCAGGGCTAAAGTATAGTTGGTACACCTTGCTCCGCACACTCTCCACAGTAAGCACCCCGAGCCGATGCTGTTGAAGGATGTCTCCTGCAAGGTCAAACAGTTACATACACGTAGCGTAAGAAACATGTTTCTTCTTCTTCCGCCTTTCTTCCTTGTTGCAGGCGTAACGTCGTGTTTGTATACCCTTTCACACTCATAAAGTATGCACATGCATTTACTTCACATATTCATATCCCACCATGTACAATTTAAAATAAGTATTCATATATATACTTGGAGTAGCATTTCACAAGTCCGTTGAGTAGGGTTGGGCAATAAGGGGGAAAAATCTTTGCCATGGTTATATGGTTATCGTTAAAAGTGGCGAGCCGGACATGTAATCAGTAGACGTACAGTCGCAGAGAGTAGAAGTCGTATAACAGAACTCGTGGATTCGATGAGCATCCACACACCTTCGTGGCTACTCATTAAGAAACGCAAAATCACGAACGTTTGTGTTCATTTCACAGTGTGACGGTCGCAAAGATAAGTATGTACGCGCACACTGGTACGGAAATTGTGACAGACGCGAAGAAGATTTCTCAACTGCTAGTGATAGCCAAACATCTGGTTGCTACCAAGTATCTCATACATATTTTCAGTGATTCGTACATTCATCGCTCACGAGCGGCAGGGAAGTGCTATACCATTAATAATAGTCCACGTGCCTTGTAGCAATACATACCAATCGCATCCAGCGCCAAATAATTCTCTTCGATAAATTCTCGTCGTAGATACGCATAGAACTCCAGCCGTTGCTTGTGGCTCCAGATGTTTAGGATCTCCAACATCGACACCTCACGCTCCATACTCTTCGTGGGCGCCGTATATTTCTTCGCTTTCCTGAACGGCGAATTGTACTGCTTGCCATCCGAGAAGTTGCGCTTACTCCCCGAAAGCTTGAGCGAGCCGACGGAGGGTGTGTTCAGCGAGTTCTTGTGCCCATTCTCATCTGTTGGGTAAAGGGCGGTACAGGTATGGCATACAGGTAGTAGGAGAGTGTTAGTACTACTTATACAGGTAGGAGAGTGTTAGTACTACTTATACAGGTAGGCGAGTGTTAGTACTACTTATACAGGTTGGAGAGTACTAGTACTACTTATACAGGTAGGAGAGTATTAGTACTATTTTACAGGTAGGAAAGTATTAGTACTACTTATACATGTAGGACAGTATTAGTGCTACTTATACAGGTAGGACAGTATTAGTACTACTTATACAGGTAGGAGAGTATTAGTCCTACTTATACAGGTAGGACAGTATTAGTACTACTTATACAGGTAGAAGAGTATTAGTACTACGTATACAGGTAGTAGGAGAGTGTTAGTACTACTTATACAAGTAGGAGAGTGTCAGTACTACTTATACAGGTAGGAGAGTTCTAATACTACTTATACAGGTAGGAGAGTATTAGTACTACTTATACAGGTAGGAGAGTATTAATACTACTTATACAGGTAGGACAGTATTAGTACTACTTATACAGGTAGGAGAGTATTAGTACTACTTATACAGGTAGGAGAGTGTTAGTACTACTT